CTTGTGTCATTACTTGATTCTCGTGCTAAGAGAAGGAGATGAGGTGAAGTCTGAGTAACCTCGAAAAATTATTGAACATTATTTAATGAACTCTTAAGTGTGGGGTCGCAAGACCATGTTTTGAATTTTGCAATGCATCCTAAACTAATAAATGCTCACTTGTGTAGGTACAAACATGCCTCCAAGGAAGGACATCGGTAAAGGCAAGGTCACATCTACTGCTCCATCTAAGGCTAAGGCTCCCTCCGCACCTCCACCGAAGAAGAGAAAAGGGGGAAGTCACTTCAAGTCAAGTTGAAGGACTGCAAGCAGTGGCAACTATAGTAGCCACTCGCCTACAACCTCAAGGACAGAGGGAGTTTGGACTCAAGAGCATACCTCCACATGTTAAGGACTGGTACAAATGTTGTAGGCCGAGACATATACATCCGGAATCTGCTATTCATGAGCGTCGCCTACAAGCCAAGTACCAAGCAATCTGGAGAGGTATTAATGATTTGGGGCTGAGTTATGTGTTAAAAAATACCGGGAATATCAATGTCAATATAGTTCAAAGTTTTTATGCTCGTTTTGATCCAAATGATCCTGAGCATCTGGTGCCTATTAGGGGAAGGTTGATCGATTTTTCAGCATCGGCAATATGCAATTTCTTAAGTGCGGCAGATGTTCCCCAGGAACCCTTGGACAACTTCATCGCCCATCCTACATATCGAGAACTGAGACACACTCTTTGTGGTGTCAATTTCGTGGCAGCTTGGATTCGGGACAAGAAAACCAATTGCCATAGGAAATTCCCTAAGAAGAAAATAAAGGCAGAAGCTCAAGTGTGGTTGAAATTGATTAATACACGACTCCTACCTTGCAACCATGACACTCTTATTAGCCGTGAAAGGACGTGCATGTTATATTTCCTCATGACTGGCCAAAGGGTGAATGTGGGCCACTTGATCCGCTACCAGATAACTCAACTAAGAATTAGCAAGAGACTTGATCGAATGCCCTCTGCAAACATGTTGACTCAGTACTTGAGACAGGAAGAGGTGGATGAAGAGAAAACTTTCGATCACATCATTGATCAGCCCCTACGACTAATGGACATTACAAGCGTCTGGGTTAAGGAGGAGACTGCTATGCCATCAATGACACGTGCCGAGCGCAATGCTCGTAATGACAGCTTTATGGCCCATTTATATGGGATGATGGACTTACAACTTTGGATTGGGGGACGTTCGGCCACTACAGAGGAGAGGGCCATATTGGAGGAGCGTTTCCCGTTCAATGCTCATGCTCAGCAGCTAGTTGGGCTTGGTGATGACTACAGACTCCCACAGGATGAGGATGTCAACACACCTGAGCAGTTCGAGGCCGAGCCGGAGCAGTCGGATGAGGTTGAGGATGATGATGATGGTGATGATGATCATCATTATCATCATGATGAGGAAGCAGAAGATGAGGAATGGGCAGCCTTCAAGGATAAAGGCGATGACGAGGCTTGATCAGAGAGTTTTCATACACCCTACTTGTTATCTTTCTTGTTTTGTCTGTTTGAGTATGCACTGAGAACATTGCATGAAATGAGGGTGGGATGGTAACTTGTAAATATTAGTCTTGTTTGAATTCGTAGTTTTTTTGTAGTTAGTGTCGTCTTAGCCTTTTAGAAAAAAAAGAAGTAGAAAAATTGGACTCTTCCCGACGATAGATCTCCTAGACAGTTTGCTTGAGGGAATTAAGTCTAAAGAAAAAACAAAATTCTTTGTAGGTAGTGTAGTAATTTCCCCTCGGTTTTTCTTTGTGCCGCGGTTCTTTTCCATGGCTTTTAGTTGAACCGAGTATAGTTAGTTTTAATTTTTAAGAGTAGAAACTGTTGTGTTATGAATTGAATTGCAACGATATCTCTTGACTTTGTTATGCCTTGAGAATAGTGAGTACTCTGGTTGTGACGCTTAGGCTTAGTGTTTGACTTTAGTATAAGTATCTTAAATTGTAGATTCTTAAATTTGCTTAACTGTTTTGACTAGAGTGTCGTGATAAAACCAATCCTGAGTGAGTTATGTGCCATGTCTGTGGGAGGTTTGTATATATTCTGTGCATTGCAGTTGATGTCTAGAACTTGCCCCATGTGTGTGCAAAGCGAAATAGTAGTCTTGTTCAATCTGAAAAGTGATATATATGTTTCTTTGTTGAGCCAGATATATATAGTTTATCCGCCTAAATATCATATAACGTAGTTAACCTCTTTGAGCCTATAGTCCTGTTTCTTTGGTAACCACATTACAAGCCTTACCCTTTGTTTGAATTGACCATATATTTGAACCTTGTCACCTCTCACGAGCACTTGAATTGTGATGAATTATGTAAAAGTGAAAGTGTGGGATGGTGGTTGGCTTTTGAGTGAAACAAATGAAATAAGGAGAAATGTGCACCGTTTTGAAAAGAAAGAAGAAAAAAAATATATCAATAAAAGCCACTTGAAAAAAAAATAAGAAAAAAAATACATATAGTTGTATTGTATAAAAAAATAATTCTTGATGGTGGTGGCTAGTGATATAATTATGCTTAAAGAAGTATGGGGTAATATACATTGATGTGAAGGTGGAGTTTTGGTTTGACATAAGTACGGGCTTGAGTGTTGAAGTATATGTATTAAAGTGCTTAAGGGAGGTGTGGTCACTCATATCTAAATGTATCCTACCCGACCTGCAACCTACATTACAACCAAATAAAGTCCTACTTGATCCTAGACTGAATGAGCTCGATGAGTAGAGTATTACACTACGGGCAAGCCTATGGTGCATCATTTGTGGCATATGAATATTATTTATGAGAGCGAGTGAATTCTTCATATCTTGAGTTCCTACGCTTTTAAAAATTATTGTGTGTGAAACTAATCTCTTTTGTTGTATGAGGGCACGTGATTCATGACAGAAAGGTAATGTCATTGACCTCCATGTTAGAGTAAGTAAGTGAATTGTAAATAATGCATGGTATTTGTGAATCAAATCTTGAGGTGAGGATGTTACACCTTTGTGCTTAGTATATTTTAAAGATTCTTGGTGTGACGAGTTAAGGGAATTGCTTAAAAAGGCCGTGCCTAAAGTATAGTTTGATTGCTCGAGGACGAGCAACATTTAAGTGTGAGGTATTGATGTTTGGCTATAATTCCATATTTTAATACATTATTTACCTTGCATTTTAGGTGCTTTAATGCTAAACTATACTTTATTTGCGCGCAATGGAGTCTATTTTATGTGTAGGTACATTGGAGATGAAATTAGAGCAAAAGGAATATTTAAAGTATAAAGCGTATTCGAAAACAGTTGGAAAGAAGAAAGAAAGAATTGAGCAGCAGAAAAATGAAGAAGATGGAGAAGTAAGCTATTGAGCTTGCATGGAAGCTGGCGAGGCGAGGGGCAGGGCGAGGTTGAGCGGGCGGAATGTCTCGCGCCGCACAGTTTGAGGCGAGTTGTATCTCGCCTTTTATCTTGCGAGGCACGATCCATAGCGAGCCTGATCCGGATTTTGAAGGCTTATTTCGTCTCATTGTTGAACTTGGACTTGGGCTATGTTGTTTAAGTTTTTTCCTACACATATAAATAGACATTAAACACCACTTTTGAAGGAGTTTTTGGCGACCGGAGGCAAGAATAGCTCGTGGAATAACTTTTGGGGGAAAGAATCATCGAGTTCTACACTCCTTCATATTTTATTTGTAATTTAATTATGCAAAATACTTGAAAAATTGTTACTACGAGTATGAGTAGCTAAACTTCTAATTTAGGATTTTGATGGAACCTATTGAAGGATGATTTTCCTGTTACGTTTAATATAAATTTGTCGTAGCTTTTTCTCTATTTGTTCAACTACGTTTATATTGTGGTTGGTTGAAGAGCTCTCAATCGACTGTGCCTATTTAGTGTGTATTACTCGGAAGAGAGTGCATAGTTAGGTAGATATTGAACAACATCACTCCTAACATATGTGAGGGATCAATACAGATGGTTTAAAGGTGGGATTAGGAATAACGAACCCTTGGTGCGATCCGAGTGAGCCGTAACTTAGTGTGTCATCTAGCGTAGTTCGGAAGAATATGTCTAGTAAATTGTGGTACTTACTCGGGAGAGAATTACGACACTCAAAGCGCTCATGATCGGTAGAGAAAACTTAAGTAAATTTATAGGAAATGTAGCGGAAAGGAGTCCGACAATAGGGGAAATCAGAACCTTAGATCATTCCAAATCTTGTCTACAACCTGTTCGTAGTTAGTTAGTAATTGGTGCATTTTCATTACTTGATCTTTAGTTAGTAAACATCCAATTCGTTATTTAATATTTTTGAAGATTGATTACGTGAATTTGTGTGAATCTAGTAGTTGTGCTTAGTAGGTTAATTTCTTGTGGGATCCGGTTCCGGACTTGTAAATTAGATTATATTTGTAACGACCACTTAATTCTTTTTATAAGGCATAGTTGGACGTGATTAGTGGCCGTAAGGGAGAAAGTAGAGCTGAGGAAAATTTGCTCGCGTGGGAGAAAACAAAGCCGGGGGAGAGACTTTGAACATCTAATGTGCACATCACATTAAATTAAATTTCCTTTAGATTCATCATTTGTTTGGTCTATTCTGTTAGTTTGACTATTGGTGCTCAAATTTTACAAATTAAAGGATAAAAAGTGGTCAAGATTATATTTGGAGGATCATATTAGGTATACCCCAAACATAAAGGATAATTGTGAGGGAAAAAAGTCTATCTTTGTCGAAAGAGTAATAAATTAAAACTTAAAATTCCAAAATCACAAAACAAATGGATTTAACAACGGCTGAGATTGTGATAAAATCCCACTATAAACGGTGGATATCTTCACCACTTTGCATGGATGACACACGTACACCTCCTTGACAGCAAAGAACCATCAAAAGGCCCNGGGACACAGAGTTAAGTGGACAAGACTCGTGTGTGATGAACCAGCCCCATAAAATAAAAGCACAGTCACATTGGAAAATGGAGGAATGAAAGTGTGTTCTCTGCTGCTACTGTGTGCATTTTCTCAGCATGGCGGCAGAGGATCAGAAAAACAAGACGAATAAGACCATTATAACGGAGAAGAAAATCTACGGCGAAGATAAGTATTCCGGTGCCGGAAGTTATTATGCATGTAGCTTCTGGTCGCCTGTAGTTATCGGCAATGTCTCTGCAATGCAGAGTGGACAGAGTTACAAAGATGGAAAAGATGGCTTCTATGAAAAGCTTAACAAGTTGAACGAGTCCTCAGGACTTAGTCTTGTGTGAGCCTTCCTTACAATTTCTCAAGAATATGGTTTAACTACATCATGCAATGTATATTCATGGAAATTAATTGTCATGACTAGCAAGCTTTGTTGCATTATCCATTTTGGAAATATGAAATGCTAGCTTTTGAGAGTTTTGTAGAATTAGTTGATGAGAAAGAATGATTAATTGCATGCAAATTAGTGGCCTGCATATTGAAACTTGAAAGTTGGCTAAGAGGGTGAATTTTTCCTGAAGGGAAGTTACTTTTATATATATATGCAGCTTTAACTTTAGAGAAACAGCCCTGGATTTGTATCTTTTCTATGAAGAAGTCACTAAAAGAGGTGGATTTAATCAGGTATTTTTTTAATTTCCCACTTTATTGCTATGTGAATTAGTTTATCTCAATACCAACAACCCATGATTACTTTTCCCACATATGCATGTGCTGGTCTACTGCTTAATGCTTATCAGTTATCACTTCAATAAAAAAGGGGAGTGGTGTTCATTTTGCTCCAGGAAAAATATTACCTTCATTGTGTCAGTGTTATGAAACATGATCTGGTTGAGAGACCTAATATTCTTTACTTATCAACTTCTCTCTTCGAAAGCATGAACCAAATTTACTGTTTGAAATGATGACCAAGAAAAGAGAAGAAGGACAAATAGACTTTTCTGGAAAATAGAGTTGCAATTGATTGTGCCAGACTGCCTTGTGTGGTTTTAGTATCTCTATGCAACCTTAGAACATGAGTATTTGCAACCTTTGAACACGAGTATTTGCACCGTTTACCTTTTCTTTTCCATAAGCAACTTGCTAATTCCATAGTAATTCATATTTTGAGTGCTCAAGTTTACATATTTTCATGTCAAAGTTATAAGGAACCAGCGCTTCACTTATCAAGAAAAGAAAAAAAGTTAAATAAGAGAAACTATATAAGGTGGTTATTGCCCTGCTCTAGTTGACATTGTATGACCATTAACCAATTCGGTATGTTTCTTGTGCAGTGGCATTTGAAAAACAACCTCTAATTTGAGTGAATAAAAGCGCGTATCGTTACTTCTTATTTTTTCTTGCTTAGTAGTTGAATTGGAAATTGGGTGCAGTTTTAGCATACTCGGTCTCTATTGATTTGGTTCCCCAGGTTGCCACATCAGAAGATGATTCATGACTCAGTATTCTTAGATCCATGAAATAACCAGGAATATTTTTCTCAAAATTTAAGTATGATTTGAAAACATTTACAATCTGTTTTGATGGATATAATTTTCTATATTGCACCCCAAAGTAAGTCTGCAAAGAGTAGGCAGATGGAGCATATAGGCTGTAGTCAATGGTCACTTATGATTCTGTGTTTCAAACAATGTCGGACGTTATTAGTGCTGGGTGCTTTGGACCCACACACTATTTATTTTTATAGGAAACTAGTAATGCGCACAAACAGATTGACTGAGCACTCAATCTCAGTAGCAACTTCGGATTAAAAGTAGTTGAGCACGCATGATTTAAAAAATTGGTTCCTCTACTGAAATCTGACATCTAATTGTTCTATACCTTAGTTTTAGGGGAAAACATATTGAAACTATTGAAATAAGTTCCAAAAACTTGTTGCCCTTGTTTTCTTTTTTAAAAAGGGTTGTCTTCTATAACATAATGTTATTCACTGTATCATAGCTCATTCACCCGAGGAGTGTGTTCAAGAGGTATGGCAGTAACGTGGCCCCACTATCAATTAAGTCTTAGATCATATGAGTTTCTAAATTGACCATGTCCCCGAGGTCTTCGAGCCTTGGCATTTCGAATCCCGTTGAATGGCTGTGGTTCCGGGACTCAAGTCTGGAGTCGCCAGGTGAGACATTCGGTTCACGAACCGGAAACCTATCTCCACAGCAAGCTCCTCAATTTGACCCGGTCCGTCACGCTTTGGACATCGCCACCGGGATCGTTGAGGCCCCGTAGATGAAATGAAGCCCCTATCACTAAATGTGGATATGCATGTGACATTCCCACTATTAGTATGGGTTCACTTGGTTTATAATGTGTAGGTTACTAAGGATGCTAAGTGGGGTGAAGTTGCATCTTCTTTGCATGTGAAAAGCAACGTCGTAATGTTCCCAACTCAACTTCAGAAGGTCTACGAAAATCTTCTTCTCCAATTTGAGCAAATGTATTACTATCGAAGTCGAGGAAAAGCAACTATACCACCACCTAGTCATCAAGTTTCTGCTACTGCTAGGGCAGTATCATTAAAAGGTAAACTGTCTTCTTGAAAGTTTGGGGGTCTATGGTTTCTATAAGTTGAATATTTTAATCCCTAGTCCAGTACGACTAGTTGTTGATAAACTCTCTTCTTTGTTTGAAGGTTATAATCTTTCTTTAGGTTCTGGGGATAGCATAGATGACTCGGCCGGGAAAAGGAAATATTGTGATTGGTCATCTCCTGTGGTGTTACCACACTCCAATGATAGGAACAGTCCAGTAAAAAAAAGGAAGTGCACTAATGATTGTTGCCTAGTTTCAACAGGTTTGTTATTCTTCTTTATCGCAGAGACTCACAGTTCTATAAGCTTCCAAACTTCTCTTCAAAATGTCAGTTACGGAGAGTTAATATGAAGTGAATTACTACTTTTTGTCTAATTAATAGACTTTGTGAATTGATAAATTTTTAATTATGTAAATTATAGGAATATGTGTGGACTAGTCATAAACTTTTCTCAAAAAAAGACTTCTTTAGACAAAGAAAATGATTTTCTTCAGTTTCACCTTGCTGGTCATACAAAGCTGTTATAGGTTTTCCCTCGGGGAAGTTTCTAGAACAACTTTCTCCATTGCTGAAACGTTAAAAAGCTCAAAACCTCAGAAGTGTCCTGACATGGATTTTTCTTTGATGATCTTTTCCACGTTGAAGGCAATTCCCGCACCAACCTCACGAGTCACACCTTAAAAAAGGAAAATATAGGCTGGTGATCATCTGTTATGCTGCAGTAACTTTATCTACTCCATCACCCTTAGTAATCTCTTCTGTTGCATATGATGTAAATGCTGAAGAGATATCCAAAAAGAAAAGGAGAAACCAAGAGGAAAGAGGGTAAAACAGATGAAAAGTGAGACATACAATTCAGTTATTTAATGAATGAATGTTATGCAAGACAATTGCATCAAAATTAATTGTTAGCGCGATACAGTAGAAAATTAGATTTGCTTCCATTTGAAAGACATCGATAACCTGCAACAACAGGTATCTATTTTAAGTACGTGTCCCATTCAGCTGTATGCTATTTGTTTGGAGATAAGTTTCTTCTCACGAAATTACTTTGCAAAGTCATGGAATTGATACTAGTTCTTGCAGTTATCTTAAAGTTACAAGCCTGTCCAATTATTTGAGTTCATTTCCTCCGGGATGGCTTCATTTTTGCTTAGGTGAAGACTCAAGTTGATCATAAATTTAATTTTTAGTAGGGCCAGAGACACCAGAGCAAAAATCTCAGATTTCAGCAACCAACACTTATCTGAAGAAAGACCCCGGTGCCCCAACAAGAACGAGGAGTGCATATCAGATTTACCTCAAGGTGGAATGTGAAAGACTAAAGAAAGTACTTGGGGAGAGTTCTGGCGCTAAGAAAATAAGGGAAATGGCAATCAATAGTTGGAGGACTCTATCTGAAAATGACCGAAAGGTACAATGAAGTACTTATCATACTGTTGTTTGCAGCTTTAATCACCCCCTAATCTATTATCATATTTGGCCATTTATGTACTTTGTTCGTCAATTAAGCATTCATGTTTCTTTCCTATATTTTAACATGCACAAATCTAAACTGCTTCATGTAACTAGTGGAGAGTAAAGCTTCTGTCTTTGTTGATCGTTTCCTAACTTCAAATTTTTGCAGCCTTATATCGAGGCAAGTAACAAGGACAGGGAAAGATATTACAGAGAAATGGCTGCTTATAAACAGCATACAAAGAAAGGAACTGTAAAGGATCAAAACTCTTACAGCAGTTCAGCCCTTAGTTATATTAACTTTGGTGCACCACCAGAAACTGATAACGCGTACTATGTGACTTTGCAAGCTGATGCTGGAAGCGACATTGTCCCAGATGAATCCTTGATTGAGTCCACGGTACAAATGTTGGAGAACGCTAACCCAAGTGACCCCATATCTCAGATAGATAATTGGGGCTGTTTTACGTAGTTGAGGCGAACCATATGTGCTATGGAGTCTTTTGCTAGCAGCTTTTGATAAGGGCGTGTTATTGCTTAGTGGTTTTTGGAAGGTATGTATATCTTTGTATATGAGGATGTATAGCTCAGAACCTTAGCATGGTGTTTTGAGGATGTATATCTTTTTGTCTTTGGAAATTAGCATGTCAAGAAGCAGTGTTTCTAGTTCTAGAGAAATGCACTTGAAATTGCATGTTGGTGCCTGCAAATTTTGTAAAAGGGTCCGTGTGCTCTTCTAGTTAAGGGAAGTTTCCACAGATTTTGTATAAAGCAATACCTACTTTTGCATCTACAAGCAGTGTATAATTAAACTTTATATGTAAAGGCTATTTTTATCGGCAGGAATCTGTATTTCACATATCGTTTCCAGTTTATATGTCACTTCGATGATCTAGAATTAACAAAAGATGCATTAAAGCAGCTAAGTGTCCCTTGAAGTCCAAAACTTTGTAAAAGAATTGGTATTAGACCATGAAAGGGGCCTTTTATTTTTTGTTATTTTTCAGAACAGAGATCACATATATACTTACTGGTACACCTCATTAGAAGAGAGAATGACCAAAACACTATGACAATGAGATACTAATTAGAACACCACAGGGCTGATGGCCAAACACATTACATAGTGGTATTAGGTACACCTCAACATGTATGCAAGTGTGCAACTCTTGAGTCTTGAGGAACAAACCAGAACTAGAGTTGCTACATGACTTCACTATGCCTTATAAAAAGGACTAAAAAGGCCTTATAAAAAGGACTAAGTGCTCGTTGCAAATATAATTTGGTTTACAAGTCCGGAGTCGAATCCCACAGAGAACTAAGGCTTAGCTACAGTTGTTCAATATTGCTAAGAAACACAAGTCCAAACAATTTTCTAGTTATAAAAATTTAATTTTTATTTCTATTAATTAACTAACAAATATTATAAAGCAGTAAAATTATCAACTAACAAGGATGAAATTGAGACAAGACTAAGGAGGTCTAGAGTTATGATTTTCCTAATTGACGAAATCCTTCCCGCTACGCCTTCTATAATTTCGCCTAAGTATTCTCTACCGATTGTGAGTACTTTGGGTGTCGTAGCTCTCTCTCGAGCAACTACCACAATTTACTAGACGTATTCTCTCGAACTACGCTAGCTGGCACTAATTCACTGCTCACTACGATCGCACCAAGATTTCATTATCTCTAATCTCACATTTAAATCCTTTGTATTGATCTCTCACATACGTTAGGAGTGATGTTGTTCAACAATTACCTAAATGCGTACTCTTTCTCGAGCAATATATGCATACATACTAAATAGGCACAGTTAATTGATGGTCATTCAATCAACAACAATAAACACGTAGTTGAACAAGTTGAGGAATCCAACGGCTCAATTATATAATAACATAACAAGAATTTATCCTACAAAAAGTTCTATCAAAACTCTAGATAACAAATTAGCTATTCATAATAGTATGTAAAACTACAATACGAGAATTCATAACCAATAATGAAAATAGAGGAAGAAAGAGGGAAAAACTTGAAGTTGAATCATTTTCTTTGCTCCTATGGTGTTCTTGCCTCCCCAAAGTGTTCTCTACCTCAAGAGTGGCAGCTCTCCCTCAAGAGTGGCGGCTCAATTTGCCTCTCTAATCATCTCTCCCCTAAAAAAAATAGGTTTAGAACCCCTTTTATACATGTTGGGGGCGTGTAGGATGAAACCCGTCCTTAGCTGTTTCGCTTGGCGCCTAGCGCCAACCAGGATACCGAAAGTTTCCACATTCTGCCTTTGGCGTTTTGGTTGGTGCCTGGCACCGACCTGGCCACCAAACTCAAACTCCCTCCAAATTCTTCTATTTTTACTTCACTTTGCATGCAAGCTTGCAAATCACTTCAAGTTGACTCCTACACATATAAACACCATTATTACGCTCGAGTCACAAATATTTACACCAAATTTAACAAGATTGAGGTATAATGCAAGGCAAATAACATGCGAAATATAAATTTTTAGCCTAATATCATCACCCCACACTTAAGCTCTTGCTCGTCCTCGAGCAACCTAAAACCTTGCTAACTAAACAATGCACGCAAGACATCATCCAGTGGAGGAACATTTGGCAATTCAATACACTACACTTATGACCATGGTTGATATCAACAATTAAGCCATTGCATACGCATTCACGCCTTTTCCAACTTTCACATGCCGGAATGTTAGTGACTAATTAAAAACACTCAAACAACCTGCCCATAACTACCCAACCTCAAAGACCGACTCATCGCCAATAAGCACTCTTAACACGTGCACTCACCCAACAAGAGATGTTTAATAACGTCACATATCCGTCATGGACTCATGTGCCTCACCAAATAATAAGAGGGTATTTCGTCCATACATTCAAATATGCATTCGAATATAATTTAAGGACATCACATATATGAACCAAGAACCAGTCACTCTCGCAAAGAAATTCATGTGCACTCCATGGTTGTACCATAGGCTTGCCCGTAGTGTATATCTCCACTAATCTAAGCTTGCAAAGTCTAAGATCAGTTAGGTCTTTACGGATTGTAATGTAGGCTAAGGGACAGGTAGGATATATTTTGGGTATAGTGACTAACCTTCCTAAGTACTTTAATATACTACAATACACACTTTTTATGACCAATTCAAGCAATGCCACAAAATCATATACAACTTGGCCCTTCTTCTTTAAGCACAACTATGCATTCACTAGCCCGAATGACGATGAATAGGAGGTGTATTTTCTATATATATATATATATATTATTTTTATTTTTTTCAACACTCTCCATAAATTTAGGTTGTCCAACTAATGCTCTTCCAAAACATACATGCACCTTTGGCCTTTCTATGGTTCCACTCAAAAGCTACCACAACTCTCACCTTACTCTTCTAGCGACTTAAGTGCTTCCGGAGGTAAAGGTTCGAAAAGATTTAATTAAGAACAAAATGGGAATTGACTTGTAATGTGGGTGCCAAAGAAAAGGCTTATAGGCTCAAATGGGCTATCTACAGATAATTTTATATATGGTGGCATAATAGCTCAATGGACAATCAAAGAAACGCCTACATCATCTCTTAGACTCACAAAGCTTACTTATTTCGCTTCGACTAACACATAGGGTAAGTTTTAGACAAACACACGATAGTACAGAATGTAATCACATCTCACATCACACAATGCGCATGACCCCAATGGTACGGTTCCATTCCAACTCTCAAGTTTAGACAAGTAATCACAAAGTCAAGAAGTATTAAGCAATAAAGCACTACATGAACTGAGAGAAAGCGCCACAGACAAACTATTCAATCTTTCACTGCATCAATTTTCATTAAAATATGTTAGGAAGGTAATTTTTATGTTAAAGCCTAACTATGCTAGCATCAAAGAGGTCAAAAGACACATAAGAGCACTCAAGTTTTTTTTCCTCAATTTCCTAAAAATAAAAATTATCCGATTCAAGTTACATCCCCTGAAAAAGAATCGATGCCAAAAGAAAAATCAAGGGGGATTATTATCTACCTACGAATAAAAAAAAAATATTTTTAAATTTTTTCATTGGACCTTAATCCTTCAAAAAAGTTGTCCAAGAGATCCATCGTCAGGAAAGGTCCTTTTTTTTAAAATTAAACTAACACAACAAAAATAACATATAAAGTCACCCATGCAATCTCCTCACTCCACACTTAAAATTGTGCACTGTCCCCAATGCATATCCTACAAGAGGGTAAAAAAAACTTCATGGTAGGCCAAAGGCCGAAGCATTAGCATCTCATGGGGTACTCAGACTTCTCCCATACTTGGTTCTTTGTGCGGGTACCCCACACTTAGTTCTAACCATCTCACTTGCTTTTGCTTTCTTCCAATGGCCTTGCTTCCCATGCTCTTAGAGAAATCAAAAACAACACTACAAGAATAATACAATAATAAAAAGGAAAAACGGCAGCACATACAATAAAATGCATCGCACTACACTCGGGCTTTTAAAGTAGAATGATCAGAGAATTCTTTGCCCCGAGTTGCTACCCACTGTGAACAACTAATTTTTGACCACATCCATATTTTATACTATTTTGGCGTAATTATTTCTTTTAGGGCTAATGATCATATTTTAAACTTTTATCTTACTTTTAATAGGTTTTATTTTTGAAAGAAAAATTAAAATTACAAAAAACAATGTTCACATAGTTATAGTAAATATTTTATTTTTTATTTTTAAGGAGACAAAGAAAATTTACAATAAAAAAATATATATTTGGTTTCCTTTTAATTTATAATTTTACTAGTAAACTAGTGACTTTATATATTTTTCTTAGTATCATTCAAATTATAGTGTATATATATTTAATTTAGTTTATTTATATTTTTTCTTTGTCTAAAAGAAGCGGGTTAACATTTTTATTTATGTATTTTACTTTACCTTTCTTTAAATAAATAAATAATAAGTAATAAAATAATATTAAAATAAAAATATGTGTTAAACTATCAGCTATTATCCCTAACAACTCCCTTTCCATCACGTCACTTTGTAAAAACTGACTCTCTTACAATTTACCTCCACTCCCTCACGTCATATGCACACACAATGCACGACTCCATAATTTCCCATTCAATTATCCATCTCACCGTTAAAAACACATGAAGTAATGTATAAAAAGAAAGAAAAAACACATTCAGAAAAAAGGGTAGTCGTATCCCTTCCCAAAAAAT